ACATCATCACTATAGATTGAGAAGAAAAAACTGTTGTCCCATTCTACCAATAGCTCAGAAGAAGAACATGTTTCACAGCAATGAAGCGTCTAAAATCAAACAGGATGCTTTTATGGATGTCAGATGTTAAACAATAAATGTATTAATAAAATCATGGAGTGGAGGTTGAAGGAGCCTGGTGGTCTCATGCAGTGACGATCTCCAAAATGAAGACTTTCAGTTCCGTTTTTCTCATCCCGGCTCTAGAAAGCGAGCAACTGATTGTCGTGGCGCCGTACCAATCCTTTGCTCGTTATTTCAAACATTTATGACAAAAACTAAGGTCCAACCATGGCTTGTTTCATTTCTTCTCTGTGATCTCGGAGATTCAGCAGGGACAGAGACCAGAACACACACAGGCTCGCTTTTTTTCCCATGCATAATTTTGAAAGGGCTCATGCAGGCCCTGATGGAAACACAGACAGGACTGGATTAACATTGGAAAGCATGAAAACAAATAGAAACAGTCTAACTAACAGGTCTCCTTTCCAGTCTCCATTCTTGCAGCGAGGCTGGGATGTGGGAGGCACGGTGACTCCTCGGCACTGTCGTCACCGATGCGTCCGTGTCACAAAGCATCTTAATCCAAATTTAAACGAGGCTCGACAGGGCTGCTTAATCCCATTTTATTTACGACGCTCTAAAGGTAAGGAAGGAGGACGAAGAGGAAAATGAGTGAGTCTTAGACTGCAAGTGTCGATGAGAGGAGGGGGTAGGGAGTTCTGCTCCCCTCATCCTATCACAAAAAGGCAGGCTTCGAGAGAGGACCCAATCATCACGGCAGCTACAGCTCGTTTCCATGGAGATGACGCTGGAATGATAGTGGCTGCATATTGATTGTTGAAAAGGCAGAGGGCACTGCAACAGAGGGAGGCAGGCAAAAGAACAAGTGTGCCTCATCCAAACTGAAATTTTACTGCAGCTCTTTAGTTTTTTCCTCAAAAAGACAAAAATAAAACAAGACGATCCCCTAATGGAGCTCAGTTTCCAGGAGAAGTTTTAGAAATGCACATGAGGAGAATGTGTGTAAACGGCCCAACTAGGGAAGGTAAAACCCTTAAGCTTGGCGAGTTATTCTACTAGTTTCAGAGCAAATTCAAAGCAAATTCAAACTGGTTAAGTAACATGTTATATCAATCCAAGGAGAGAAGTAACAAATCTGATGAACAAGGTCAATACTTTTCTAAACTGAAAAACTTTTTTTTTTCAGATAAAAAAAAACACAAAAAGCTTTTATAAAGCATTAAAGTTTGCAAAAACCTAAATGACCCATGGACGGACGGACGGATGAAAGGTCAGATGGCTGGATGGACAGACGGACAGATCGATGGGTGGGCGGGCGGACAGATGGGAAAATAAAAATGGAAAAGTATTCTATTAAATAAATAAATATCCCCATGAATGAAACAAAAATTATGTTAAAATATTTATATCTAATTTTATATTATTATATTTCAAGAATTTTTATTTATACAAATATTTATTTAAAATAAAAATAACTCTAACATTTATGATCAGCTTAGACTGCTGCCTCAGTGATCCCGCCCCGGATAAAGCGGAAGAAAATGTATGGATGTTGCAACATACGACTGGGAGGAAGTCCCCCCCCCCCCCCCCAAAAAAAAAAAAAAAATGCCTCAAAAGAAATGAAAAAGTGTGGCACAAAGTTAAAGTTTCTATTGTATCCTACTGTAAACATTTTTTTCCTCTTTCCCAAAGTTTTAATTTATTGCTCTACTGTTAACAGCAACATCAGCAGCAACTCAACCAACAGAATCATTTGGATGATCAAAGATAAAGGCGGCAGCACATATGCCTGCTTATATCTGCAGATTTGTCCGTCAGGTTTAGGTCTGCTCAAACAGAAAGGCTGCTAGTCAGCACTTTCCAGTCAGCTTTGATGCCCAGATGAAGTAAACAAACGGGCAGAAAGGGAGCCACATTCTAGCCCATCAGGATCAGAAACATTGACTTCCCGTCACTCAATCTTTTTTACACAGCCTCCTCCTCAGACTAATAAGTCAGCTGTCAGTCAAATACAGGCATAACATTTAACTAAGAGGTGGTTTCTAATCGGCCTTACAATATAAACTATTGAATTAGTAACTAAATTTCACTATTTTTAAAAGACGTAATTGGAAACTTTAAATGATATTTGAATGATAAATGATCTTTAGTTAAATGTTTATTCAGATTTTACAGAAATGGTTTAAGCGATGATATGCTGAATTTTCTCTTTTCAAACATAATCCAAAGCGAGCTGACCCACTTCTGCCACTCACAAACGTATCATAAAAGAGCCACCAGCAGCCGTGCTCCCTGCACGCAGACACAGATTCAAAAATAAATATATTAGCCACCAACCCAGTGATTGCGCTTCTATAGCTCAGAGTGATCAGTTTATTGCTTTTCATTTTCAGATGTCGCACTAGCTCACTGTGTGATACCAATCTCTGAAAATATTTACTTTTTTTTATTTTCATTATTGTTGTTAAACCTGATCATTTTACAAGATTGTTTCACACCTTGAATTTTGTTGCCTTTTATATTACAGTCACCTCTAGGGATGGGAATCGAAAACCGGTTCCTGTTCAGAACCGGTTCCGTATTTTCCGATTCCATGGCATCGTTTGGCAGCTCGCTGAACGATTTTTTTTCCGATTCCCGCAGCACCAGAGCCTAGAGCGTCGGCTCTGGGGAGCACGACTTACGTCACGTTTTTTACGTAAGTTACGCAAGTTACGCAAGTTGGAAGAACTATTCGAGGAGGAAGACAACGAGCTGCGGTCACTTTGTGAATCAAAGCCCTGTCTTTCCTTAGCCCAGAGGGTAGATCAGGAAATCCAGCTCTGTAAAAGCTTGCCCTCCATCCCCTGCAGGGATAGCGCCACACTGTGGTGGTGGAACAAGCAAGATACGCTGCCCTTGCTATCTGGACTGGCTGAAAACTACCTCTGTGTGCAGGCTTCCTCCACCCCATCTGAGAGGGTGTTCTCCACGGCTGGAGACACCTTAAGCGCTGAAAGATCCTGTATCCTTCCAGAAAAAGCAGATATGCTCATCTTTCTGCAAAAGAACTGTTAATTTTCCCTACTACTGTTTTATAATTAGTATTTTTTGTTATTTAAAATAGGTTATTATCCCATCATTTGTTATTAGACATTGTTGGTTATTAAGTTTGTTCTTATATTCATTTTTCATTTAAACACAGATGTTACTCCAGTTTCACATTTCCTGTGGACATCTTGATCTTGTTGAGTTTGTAAGATTGTGCAATAGTGAAGTAAACAAAGTTGATGCTGATAATCAAACTGTTTGTTCTCCTTTTTCCCCCAAATTGGAATCGAAAAAAGAATCGATAAAGAATCGAATCGTTTCATAGAATCGAAAAGGGAATCGGAATCGTGAAAATCTTTTCAATTCCCAACTCTAGTCACCTCCCAGAAAACCAGATTGAAAACAAAGCTAGTTTTTGAAAAGAAGAAAAGAAGTAATCTCTCCACTTTATTATGAAATTTAAGAGGGAGAAAAAAATCAGTTAACCGGATTTGGCAGGAAAAAATATATTTATATCGGATATTAAATATTTTAGCTAGATTTCTGGCCTTACTCTTGACTAACAATATATCAAGAAAACAGCTATCGATAGACTTTTAACACTGAAACAACATGGCCGAACCTTGTGATGAAGGGCACAAGGTAAGTCCATATTTTGATGCTTTTTTAAGTGATTTATTCAAACGCTTTTTTGTGGAATGAGTAAACTACATAACCAAAAATGCTGCAACTAACATTTATTTTACAAATCTGTCAATAATTTAGTTGATTAATCGATTAATAATCGAATAGCAAAAGGTTCCTTAAAGAGGATTTTTCATGAAATTAAACCAGGTCAAACTAACTAACTTTTCGATTTGAGGAGTTTCGTATAGAGCATACTGAGAGATGAAAAAGCAAAAGGCAAAATATGTACATATTATTTTTTCAATCTTGGTATAATTGCTGCTGAAGGTGGGTTGCTCTGTCAGCTAAAGGCATGTTTTAGTCTCTATACTTCAGTTAATAATTAATCCATACCTAATTAATTGACGATTATTTTAATAATCTATTAATCAGCATTAATCTGATAAATTTTTTCAGCCCTAAATATTTGACACAATCATTTCTTTCGGTCCTTTGGTTTTAAGCCTTTGTTTCCTCATCATTTCTTTTCGGTTTCAGCCCCGAATTTTAATTTCAGTGCATCTCTAGTCTTGACAAATAAAAATGTTGCTAACATTCATACAGACCAATAGAAACGTTCTTCACTTTGCACTCATGTTTTCTCAGTTAGCTCGCTCCTAATGATGTACCACTGGTGATGTGGTCTCTTTATGGTAAATAACAAAACAAACTCGAGTATACCATTAAATAGACACTGAAATAATGTAGAACACTGAATGAATTTATTCTAAATTTAATCAGAAATTCTCTAAGTGTAACTATAGGGATCTATAGGAGTAGAGATCCAAAACGCTGGAAAAAATAGAAATCTAGATGAGTCATTTTTTCTTAAAATAAGTGCACTTGTTCTTGGATTGAGGAGATAAAAGAGACATTTAGCCAATGGAGCAAGACAATTTACACTTAAAATAAGAAAACACAATTGCATTGTGTTATTTCAAGTGCATATTATCTAATTATCTTATTTTAAGAATAAAAATACTCATTCCATTGGCAAATCATCTTATTACCTACTCTAATTAAGGATAAATACACTTAATTTAAGAACTTTTTACTTATTTCTAGATCGTTTTTCCAGTGGATGACTTGCTCTCTTTAATAAATGGGAGACAAAAATCTATTTATAACCTTCAATTGCACAAAAAACCCACATAGCAATCCTGTCCACCTCTATGTGTACTGTGTGTTTAAGGGGTGCATTAAATGCCACATTTATGTATGAAGATTCATAAACTCACCTCCATGTTTCTTTTGGTGCCTGTGGTGGATGAGGACTCGTCTGATGAAGAAGACTCAGCACAGAGCGATGGGCGGTGTTCCTGAAGTGCATGGGTGGAGTTGTGGGGTTGACAGATTTTCAGCGATCTTAACTGACCGCCACCTGTGACTGGCCTACAGGTGCATGGCCCAGCAGTGTGGAAGCTGATGCTTGAAGGCTGCTTCCTCTGGTCAGGTTTGGACTTTCTGTAGTATGGAGGTAAAACTCTCTGGCTGTTGGAGCAGGTCTGGGGTCGTCTTGGCTTCTTTGAGAAGCTCCTTGCGACGTTGCTTTGAGGTCTTGAACTTTGAGTGCACTGCAACAGCCTCCCATGAGCCTCTAGAAGGCGGCAGAGGAAGACAGCCTTTTCTAGCTCAGATCCTTGCCTATGATGAAAATGATAACTTGCCTGCTTCCCATTTATCTTCTCATAAAGTATGAGGAGAAATTTCTCCAGCTTTGAATGTCCACTGCTGAGATCAAAGCCCGTTTCCCCTGCAGACTTCACCTTGCTGTGTTGCTCTGTGTTTTTAATCGTCCTCTCTTCAGCCAAGAGATTTCTACCTCGGGTTTGCCTGGCCGCCAGCTCCCTCACGGCCCTCTCGTGTTCCTGCTCCGCTTCTTCTCGTAGGCGCCGAAGCTCTACGCCAAGCTGCCCGCAGGCCCACAGCGTTCGGATCTTTTCTGCCTCCAAGTCTGCTTGCAGGCTCTCTAGCTCTCGCCGGTAGTCCGCCTGGTTCTGGCATGACCTCTTAGACAACAGTGCCAGAGGGTTATCCCTGTTCTCCCTCATGCTGCCTCATTCACAGCACAGCATGCAAGCAGGGGTGAGTAGTTTTATTTTCTATACAGGAGGGCATGCATTAACAGTAGAAAGAGGAGCAGGTGAGTGATGGCTGGATGGTTAGCAGACATGCATTTTTTAAACACAGGAGCGTTGGAAAGGTGAGACTGTAGAGGGCATGGGAGAAACGAAAATGGGATGAAGATTAAATTGCAGAAAAGGAAATGAACAAAAAGAACAAAACATGCAAAAACACAAACTAATAAGATCATTAAAAAAATCTGATTTCAAAAGGAGAATTCTGGTTTTCATTTCACATTGTGTATGAAAGGTGTCAAGTAACGAAGTACAAATACATCCTTACTGTACTTAAGTACATTTTTTAGGTACCTATACTTTACTCCATTACTTATTTTTCTTCCTACTTCTGACTTTTACTCATTACATTTTCACACAAGTATCTGTACTTTCTATTCCTTACATTTTTAAAACAAACGTTACTCTTGGCTTGGGTTTAATTCTTATAAATATTTATTTCCTGTCATGTGCGCCATCCAATGCTGATCATTGGCGCCATCCACATCTAGTGAAAACTAGTGTAATTGGATGAGTCATATAACGCAAACACTCATTGGTTAGCTATTTGTCAAAATTCATATAAAGACATCTCGCTGTTTTTTTTAAAGGTTACTTCATACTTTTAAGTAGTTTTTGGAGCACATACTTTTTCATTTTTACTTAAGTAAAGAGGTCAAGTTGATACTCCAACTTTTACCAGAGTGTTTTTAAACTGCAGGATCTATACTTCTACTTAAGTAATAAATATTTGTACTTTTGACACCACTGTGTATGACTGTAATGATCACTTTAACAATATTCGACTTTTCCTGACCTGAAGTGAAACGCAAACAAACTGACTTAGTGTCAAAGTTTGGCATCCGGCCACAACAAGTTTTCTTAACGAGACAAACATTGCCAAAGTGAACGTTTTAACCCTCCACCTAATGCTGCTAACTGCCAGTCAGCTGGCTAAATAGTTTTCGTCTTTAATCGGGTCACAGGGGCAGGGGTCTCAATAGAGACTCTCCTCTCCCCAGACACCTCCACCAGCTTTGCTTGGGGAAGCCTGAGGAGCCCCCGGGTCAGCACAGAGACATAATCCGTCCAGTGTGTCCTGGGTCGTCCCCTGGGCCTCTTCTCGATGAGACTAGCCTGGAACACCTCCCTAAAGAGGCGTCCAGGGCAGAGCATGTGAGCGGAGCGTGGAGCGAGCATCTGAGCGGGGCGGAAGAAATAAGGTGGAGCGCAGAGCGGTTTTCAATTCAAAGCCCGGAGCGAGGATTTCGATCTGCTCCAGTTCACTCCGATGCACTCACAGAAATCAATCAAAGTCAATAGAATAGTATTTATTTTAATTCATGTTTCACTTAAAACCTAGGCCAATGTCTATGCTGTAGTCTGTGCCTATGATCTGTTATAGTCTATGCTTCAAATTTACCACAGAATCACTGATACGAGGATTGTATACTGTGTGATAAAAGTGTGATAAAATATCATAAAAACAAACACTAACTATACTTTACAATACAGAGTGGGTTTACAAAAAGTGATCATTGTAGTAAAAGCCTGTGTTTGAAAATGGATCGCATACATTATACGCTATTATCTCATTTGCAATGGGATGCCAACTGACCTTTTTATTGTAGTCAAGTAAAATAAATTAATAATTAAATAGGAAGGGCAACATGAATGGAGCGAGGTGTTACGTTCACAGCTGGGAAACAGTGCGATAACTAAACAGCCAGTTAAATAAGACAATACTAATATATGGGTCACATCATTAAATGAAACGCTGTGTGTCCCAGGCGCCTGGCATAATTACACGAAGGAAAAATGTCAGAAAATGCCTTCTGAAAATTGAGCATGCATGAATCAATTTCGCTTGAGCGGCAGGAACATTAAGGTAAGCACGGAGCCAATTTTGAGCCGGGCGTCGTGGCGCAAATTTTGAGCGGCAGATCGAATGAGCGAGCACCCTCCTGAGCGGGAGTTGCGCGGCGCTCCGCTCTGTTCACATGCTGTGGTCCAGGGGGCATCTGAAAAAGATGTCTTAGCCACATTAGCTGACTCCTTTCGATGTGGAGGAGAACCAGCTCTACTCTGCGTCCCTCTGAATGACGGAGCTGCTCAGTCTATCTCTAAGAGAAAGCCCAGACACCCTTGAGGAGAAAGCTCATTTCAGCTGCTTGTATCTGGGATCTCCTTCTTTCGGTCATGATCCAGATTTCATGAGCATAGGTGAGGGTAGGAAAGTAGACCAACCACTAAAACCAGAGCTTTCCCTTTTCACTCTCTCTTCACCGCAACAGAATGGTGCATCCTCTGCATTATAGCAGCAGCCGCACCAATCCCTCTATTTCCTGCTCCATTCTCCCTTCACTTGTGAACAGGATCCCAACATGCCTGAACTCCTCCACTTGAGGCAGGAACTCTCCAAACTGAAGAGGACAAGCCACCCCTTTATGTTGGGAACTGTGGCTTTTGACTTGCAGGAGCTGACTCTCTTCTAGGCCGCCTTACACAAACCGCCCCAGTGAAGGTCTTGGCAGTATGTGGCCAGCAGATAACCTGACTCCGCCAGATGGATTTGCTCCGCATATCCATCTGGAAACCTTCCGTTGAAGTAATTTTGGGAAGGGGCGAAAATACTGGTTAGCTGATTGGCCTATGTTGGTGATAGACGGGCCAAATAAACCAATCAGATCAACGAAGCATATGACGTACTAACAGGGAGACGACAAAAACACAAGCCAGGCACAAGCCAATTGATAGATCAAACTCTTGCCGAAACAAGTCCGGAGAAGAGCAAAAACATATTTTCCTCTGAAAAAAGCCTCCAGAGCAGTGTTTTGCTCTTCTTTCAGTGAAGAAATACAGTGTAATTCCGATAAAACTTGCTCGATAGCCACGCTAACGCTAGTTTCATTGGCTGAAGCCGCCATGTTCTTTAGACTGAACTGTCGAGCTTCTCGTTGCGTCACATCTCAACCCGCCTCAAAGCCAACGCTGATTGGACCTTCGTTTGGTGAACTGCTCCAAATTTTCTTTAACGGAGAGTAGCCAGACTGATCTGCGAGAGAAACCTTGAAAGCTCGCAAGATCAGGAAGGATGGTCTCACGAGGCTAGCCAGCAGACCTGTTATCTATGAAAAGCAGGGACGAGATCCACTGATGACCAAAGCAGGTCACCCTCTGGCCATTGGCTGCACCTAGAAATCTTGTCCATAACGATTATGAGCCCCTTAGGCATCCTGCAGAGAGCATAGAGCTGGTCCACTGTTCCACAGCCAGGATGAAAACCACACTGCTCCTTCCTGAAGCCGTGGTTCAACAATCAAACTCTCTCCAAAACCCTGGCAAGGAAGGCTGAGGAGTGTGATCCCACTATAGTTGGAACACACCCTCCAGTACCCCATCTTATGCAGGGGAACTCCCACCCCAGTCTGCCAGTGCAGGGTCCCTGTCCCAGACCTCCATGCAATGTTTAAGAAACGTGTCAGCCATGACAGCTCAATAACATCCAGAGCTCAAAGGTATTCAGGCTGGATCTCATCCACCCCTGAAGCCTTGGAGTGGCAACTAAATTCACCTGCTAGATATCACTGCTCTTATCCCTGACACAGGATTATGGTGAGGATTGTTTTCATGATTGCATTGATAATCATTAACTTCCTGTTTTTCATAAAAGCACATTTTTATCTATCTTCTTTTGAAAAAGGCAAGATCTTATTACTTAATATAATCATAAATTAAGATTCTCACACCAGTTTATTATGATCATTATTAACTAAGTATGTAATTATTGTTATTATAAAATGCAATAGAGCCATTCATTTTATAATCCTCTGGCAGAGATAAAAATTATTATTTAAATTATTTTTTATGATTATGATCATTTTCTGTTTAAAGTCATAGGGAAATAGCTGTTCCAACCGTTGCATTTCTGAATTCTCCCGAGTGGTGCAAGACTTTAGCAAGACTTTTCGTTTATCAAGAGAGTGGGGTTGTTGTGGTGGAAGGTTTGCAAGCAAGTTTGATTGTGGCCGGTTTCTCGGAAGAATCTTGCAAACCAGTTAGCAACTTAGTGCTGACTATTATTTTATTATTTGAACCGTGGCGTATATTAGCTTCGACATATGAATCAAGATGCTATGACCAAAAAGATTTGATTGATATGTGATTGGCCAAATTTAGGTGTACAGGCTGACGTATAACTGACTGGCCTGCATAAAATAACAGCAAAAAACAAAACAGAGATTCTAAGACAGGATTTTTTTTTAAATAGAAATTTTCTAAACATGTATATACATGTTTAAGCCAGAATGATTTGACATTTAAGTATGATTTCCCTACGACTTTAACAGTCAGTTGGTTTTCAGATTAATGGTCCTGGTTTTAAGAATAGTCCTGGTGTCTTTGGACACTGAAAAATGCCACCATCTACCTCCAGAAGAGATTCTTCCTCAATCAGGTTCTGCTCAAGTAGCCTGTCTTGTAGTCAAAACACCAACACTGATATATACCGATGTATATGAGAAGCAACATTTCAAACAATCCTAGCTTTTGTTAACTTCGTTTACTTGCTCTGTTTACAAAAATTGGCTTAATAAGATATTAGCTTGCTTTATCTAAGGAAGTTTTGATCTCATGTTGTAATTAAACATTTTATATTTATCTAAAATGATTTGTCAAGTTTCTATAGCCTGGATTGAATCCTTATTCCAAAAAAATATAATTATGGTAGAATCTTTTTATACTGTCAAACAACTGACCAGGTTTCTTTCTTTAAATTAATATTAACTTTGGATTAAAAAAAATATAATAAAAATATGAAAATTCCCATAACTGGACTGAGGGCTTTGTTTTTTATTCATTTATTTTTTAATTGAATATGTTTAGCTTCTGTCGATGCAACAAGTAACTTTCACCATGAGCAGTTTTAGCCCATCAATAAATCATGCGAGTGATGCTTCACTGGATGCTGCTGGATGCTTTATACTCCAGACACTTTGCCAATAGAAGCTAATTAACAAGCTTAATCCTGCGACACGGTAGCATATGGTCAACCAGCTTAAGTTTTAATAACACGCTGTTGAATTAAATAAAGTGTAGGATACTTTATAGTCGACATGGCTAATTGTTAATACGTCCTGTTAGCAACAGTTAGCTAGCCTGCTGTTAAGTTTTCTAGCTAGAACTTATATAAAACTCACCTCTCGGCGGACACTACTGTTATAGTAAACTTTTCACCGTCTGGACATCTTCTATTAACTGTTGTGTCGACAGTAAACGAGGTCATGCACTGCCTCACTGATTAGCAATATTAGTTTTTAAAGGTCCATAGCATCATGTCATAATGGGCTGGTTTATCTGCCACCGTCCCAAACTGTCCCTGTCCACCGTTATCCTGTTGGCCAGCATTGCTGCTGCATTCACGGATACCCTGTAATTCTCTGTGATGAATTGAATAGACAAGTTTCCCTTAAATTTTCCATCCTTTTCCACCAACCATAATACTATAATAGTTCCATATAAATTCTCTGATATATATTTTTCCCCTTTTAAGTACATTTTAAAAGAAAAAGGTTTCGCTGTGGCATTTATCACATTACCAATGTTGTTGTTTTTTTTTTTTTGCGTAGCCTATTATTCCCTCAAGAGGTTGTCATAGCCTATATGTATTTTTTCTGTTACAAAAAACTTTAAAAAGTTTTAAAATATATTCGTGTATTATTCTTAGCAAAAGTAATCCTTCGTTTGTACTGATGTACACATTACTACCAGAGGTACCTGAACGCAACGCATGTGAAGCATTTTACTCAATGTATGACACTTTGGTGACAACTAGTGGCCACATTCTGCAGTCAGAGGTAAAAATATTATTGCAATAATAATATTGTGTTATTATTATTACTACTATTTTTATTACAACAATAATATAAAATGTAGAATTTAACGGGATACCGAATCAAAACTATGTGGAAAAAAGAACAAAATGACAAACTCATGTACTAAAAGTACTAACTATACAGAAGAGATAATTGAGAAAAAGATTCAAACTAATATGGCAAACCACAAACTACAAAAATGGCTGAATTTGGCAAACCAGAAAGAACCAAAACACAATTATAAGATAACCTACAGGACATAATAACTAATAGCTAAATATTTTAGTTAGAGGTCAATAAATATGAATGGAATTTCTTTGATAATTCTAATAACAGTTATATATATTTTTAATAAATTATTATTTAAATATGAGCAGCCCAGTATGTGTAAATTAAATCATAGCTAGGATAAACAAGATATAATCAAATACATTTTTAAATAATTATGATACCTATTATTAATTTAAATAACAGCGATGTAGTAACAGTTTCAGCTTTAGTAATGTATTATATCCTAAATTCTTAACATAATAATAATAATAATGTAGTATTTCTGTACTACTAAAGCTTTTGATATATTTTTTAAATAGACCACATCTACATGATGCTGTCCTCTATAGGGTATAAGGTATCTAAAATATAAATCTTAAAATTACTTTAGGGCAAGAGTTACCTATAATATCTGCAATATTTCCTCTGGTGCAAATCATTTATCACAGAATTCCACATAGACAGCCTTTGATTTTAATATCCCGGTGTTGGGTGACAGGCCTATTGTTGATGCTGTGAGTAACACCTGTTTTCTATATTGTGACATCCCACAATGTGTAATGTAAAAACAAACCATACGGGGGAATCCAATCCTCCTGAGAATTGCAATATAAACTAGAACTTTTGTCCTTATCATTTTATTATACTACTCGTGTCTATACAATATAAATGAGATGTTGGTGTGGGCACGTGTGTGCTGTGAATTTGGTTTATTCCCCCTTGTCTTCATTCTTAAGGAGGTACAAAAACAAACAAACAAAAAAGGCCACAGTACATATCAATTTCAGAAGGAACTATTCAGACACTTGTATTATATCAAACTGCACTTACAATATTCACCACTATTTAGCGCCATTTGCCTTTTTCCTCTGAGCTGGTTTGCTTGGACTTACATTGAATTACGGTGTCATGATCTTGGCACTGATGACCGGATTATTGGTTCATTTCCTCCACCTGCCTAGCTCCGCCCAGTTTTCATTATCACTCATCAGATCCACCTGTTCCAGTTCCTATTTAAACTACTTGGTCCCAGCAATCAGTGCCTGATTATTCGAGCCGTAGGTGAGAGTTCTCTAGCGTTCCCCAGTGTGTTTATTCTGATTGCCTGCTCCTGGCCTTCTGGGTTTGCCTGCTCCTGTTCTTATCTGTTTGCCTGACCTGTCTTCTGACTACTATTGGATCTGTCTCCCGACCCCAACTTGGATTTCCCTTCGGTACCTCTTCTGATCTCTGATCTTCTGGCCTGGACCTCTGCTTCCTCATCGACAACAGCTTTGGATTCTCCTTACGGATACATCTGCTCTTCTACGTCAGCTTGCTTCTGCTCGTCTGTCTGCTCTGCAGCTCCTTTGGCGTCTACCCCTAGAACTCTCTGGGCGACTTCCACTGCAGCTGTGAAAAATTATCCAGCTGGATTCCACTCCTTCCTTTTGGTTTGGATTGAACTTAATAACCAGGTTAGGGACTCAAATGGTCGCTATCGTTCCTTGTCAGAGTTACAGTACGTGGTCACTAATCTATGTTTCGTCCTCTACAGAGGTTCAAGACATCTTATCCTTGCTGTCAAGATCCATAAATTGGAGCAATTAATAAACGAAGCTCAGACTGTCTGCCTGAATTCTGGGTCTAGCGTTGTGGGTCCTGACACAGGGGATATCCAAGGCTTTAGAGGATACAGCAGACGTGTCCTTCAAAACGGCCAAAAAGACCTCAGAGCTGTGCTATAACATAATTGGCAGACTGGCCTTCTAAGGAAGCAGCCGCCAAATTCGAACTCAGCAAAGGTGTGCTTAAAATGCACTGTTTGAATATAATTCCCCTAATGATGTCATATGGGGAAATAAGTTGACAAGTGCTCTCTGGAGCAGCCGATTGGTCAAACTACTTTCATCATCTTAGGTATTATTCCATAGCCTGACGTAGTCCGACTCAATTCTAGTCAGAATATGAGTCTGATACTGCTCCATAGAGCTGTGATTATGGGGCGTTTTTCGAACGAACCAGGAAAAAAAATGCCTCTGCACTCAATTGGATAGACCTACAACCAATAAGAGCAACGGAGTGCGTGACGTATGTTAAGCGAGGCATAGTTGTTGTCCACAAAAATGAAGCTCTAGCGGAAGTTCAATTGAAGAAACTCTGACTTACCTCCATCCAATCAGAAGCTAATCCGTCTCTGAAGCGAGCCATTCAGCTTCGAACTACTCCACCACAAGCCCAATCAGCGTCCTGCTCTCACTTTATAAACGCTCCAAATCTTCATCCCAGCCGTTATCCTGCAATCGCAATGTCGGACTTCGATTCAGACGACAATTCAATTCTCCCTGCTCACAGAGGCTCCCGTTTGGCTGCTCTCGCATCTCCTTCTTCCGCATTGCGCTCCGAGGGCGTGTTGCCGGGCTCCGGCATGGACTCTGCTCGTCTGTCTCGGCTGGCCTCCCTCCTGCCTCCTCGTGGTTCATCTCCCCCGCCCTCCGCTCTTCAATCTGCTCCGATACCTGGCCGCAAGACATGCAAGTCCTCCGCTCCCCCCGCCAGCGCAGAGGGCTCCAGATGCGCCCGCTCCTCTCATCGTATCGATGCGGGCTTTGGACTTTCTTCAGCTTCCCGATTTGTGGCGGCACCCACGTCCGGTCCTTCAGCTGTTTGGCAGCTCCCGGCCTCCCTCCACTCCTCTGGACTCTCTAACTCAATCCATTTCGACGCTGTCCGCACGCTCCGAACCTGGAAAATCCCCGCACTGCCACGTCATCCCTGCCGCTGCCTGCTGAGACGGACCCCCCCCCCTCCCATTCACATTAAGGAACGCCCGCGGGCCATCCCTAGGTAAGATGTATCCAACCATGTTTTCTTCCATATCTTCTATCATTAGATTCGCTTCATGCTTGTCTGCCCCTTATTTAGGCATACACTTATTTCCATGCATGCTATATTTCACTAGCCTAGCTAATTATTCTAGGGAAACTTGTTAATTTAGTCTCTCTTTTCCCCCCCCCCCTGAAGTCGCATCAGCAGGTGACGTCTCAGCTTTAATCATTGATCAGCCCGTCATCTTACTACCCCTTATTATTTTCTGATTATCGTCTTGTCTCCTCATCATCTGTCGTCTAATAATATATATAATTATAATAATAATAATAATCAATAATAATCATAATGATATAAAAATAATAAAAATAATAAAATAATAAATTAATAATTAGATAATTAAAAAAAAAAAAAAAATAAATAAATAAATATACAAATATAGACGATATTATCAATCTTCTGCATGCTCCATTCACGGGTGCTGGTTCATCCTTAGGTTTTGGGGGGTCTTCAGGTTAGGTGTTCGTGGTCCACGGCCTTTATTCTACACCCATCATCTGCCCTGAGGCTACCCCGTTCCATAGCCTGCCGTCGAGGGGCCGTTGGGAAGATTGCATATCCGCCCACCACGATATTTGCAGTAGTAAACTTTATTAGGTCGCTCTCCCGTTTCTTATGCCCTCACCAGAGCATCATCCGGCAGCAGTTCTAACATTTCATCATCTAGCGCATCATGTTCAGGCATTCTAGCTCTTCATTACACCCGAGGGTTACCCCACGTCACTCGATGGTTCTTCATCACCTCAGGATACTTCAGATTCATGCGGCTTCCCTCAGGGTGTATCCTGGGCATCCGTTCCGATTGGAGCAGCTACGTAGTCAGCTACTCACGGGGTTTCTGAGGCTTCCCTCAGTACTGGGCCGATGGTCTTAGCTATACCTCATCTTCCGCCCAGATCTCATCAATTCTCGCAGCGCAGCACACTCTGCCTCTAGGTAACTCTAACACAAATACTGGTGGTGGTTCGAACTCTTTCTCATCATTACCTGACCTAACCATGCCCATCCTAGCTCGTCTTCTCCTCTTCCTACTCATCAGTTATCAACATTCTTGCTTTGTGCAGCTTCATGCTGTCTCCCTGCTATACTTATGCTGTCTTAATTCTGGCTTATACGTGCAATCTCACCTTTATGTCAGGCAGCATCATGCCTTCCCTTGTGTGTCTCGTCGTGTCTGGTCTACGTCTCGTCATGCTCTTTACGCCATTTTGATGCATTTCCTAATGCACCAATATGCACCATGTCTGCGTCTCGTCATGCGTCTGTATTTCGTCATGTCTTTTGTTCATATATGTCATCATCCGCAAGATATATGTTTT